AAAAAACGAAAACCAAAAGACCTAAACTCAAAAAAGTAGCAACTAGAACACAAAATAATAAACAACACACACCTAAACAACAAACTAAATAAACAGAGCTCTTCCACAGCATGCAGACCAAACCCAGCACAAAGTACAAACGAACACACGGCCTACCCCAACAAATTGGTCTGCAGCTCGAAAAACCACTCCCGAAACTGCCAAAAAACACCTAACTCAAGTCGAAACTCAAAACCCCGAACCACTCCAAGAAGCCAACCTTTCCCACAGGCGGAGGAACACCAACACCACTGGCCAAGTCCGGCAACACGGACCATCCCTCGGACTCCACACTAGGGAAACAAAGGAACAAGGAGGTGCGAGAGACGTCGTTCCTCAGCCCCAATCGCCTCGACGTAGATGCCGTAAGCGGCCCCAGTCATGCACAACCCCTCGATACCACACCCCACCCGACACCACCTCGACACCAAGGAGGCTGACGAACTGCAACCACGAACTGACACCAAAATTCGACGAGAATCGCGCCGCCGTCCGAAACCACTGACTAGAACAGACAAGGAGAGGCACAAATCAGGGCCACGACCGTGCGACCAAGGGCTGACCGCTGATAAAAGGCCCGACTGCCTGTTGAGGAAGACAAGCAGATAAGGGAGAAGAAAAGGCGGTTGATAGTGGATTTGGGGTCAAAAAGAGGGAGAAAAAAATAGAGCTTCCACTAGCTTTACTATTATTATTATTATTTGTTTATTTTTTTTCTATATGTACTTATTCTAATCGATAAATTCAAGTTAAATCCCTACACCCTTTTTCATCTTCCTTGTCAGTCCCTAAGTCTTTTTTTTTTTCTCTACACTCCCTATTACTTTCTTTAACTTTCCTCTCAACTACCCTTATATATATAACTATTAATATTAATAATTTAATTTAATTGGTAAAAGGGACAAAATTGAAAAGGCAGAGCAGATCCTGTCATAGCAAAATATATTTTTACCGAGTACCGAATCGAAATATTCGTTCCCCGGGTCGATCTCTCAAGGAAGGTTAGCCGGAAAACTCGGCACGTTTATTCAACCACACAAAAAGAAATAAGTTTCTTAAACATACTAATTCAAAAGATTGGTTTTTGATTTAAATTATCAACTACTAAGATTTAAATTAAGCAAATTAAAATAGCAAATTAACACGTAGAACAAGCAAAATTTAAGTAGCTAGGGAGTCGGGGATATCCGTTTTGGTTCGAGTTGCAATTAATGGGCAAGTGATTGTTCGGTTAAGTGATTCGAATAACTTACTCGTTCAGAGATTCATCCTCAATAACTTTTCGTAACAAGAGAACAAATGTGAACGGCAAATTAACAATTCATTTAACACCTAAGCAATACAGTTACGAACAAAACTAGCTTATACGAGCCTATTTCGACCGACTCCTCCCCTTTCGGTTCTAACAGTCGATTAATATAGACTAGAGGGTGATTAACCGACTAATCAAATAGAATCACCAACATCATACACGAATACATCAAATTCAATTAAAACAATTGGGGATTGAAGTGTCACCCTTCAACAATTCTCAGTATTCAAGAACGATAATTGAAAACCCTGATAAAAGCTCAACTCGCATAAAAAGAACAATCAACGAATCACCACAATCACAATCGAAATCAAAACAACATCCCCTATTCCCTAGCATATGAATTTAGCTACTCATAATCGAATAATCAACACAAGAAAAATCAACCCGAGAATTCATAATTAACGATTAAATTAAAAGAGAATCTTACGATTGATAAAATCCAAAAGATTAATTCGATGAACAAGCTTGAATCCCAAAGCAATAGCAAAATTCGAGTTTAAATCTGAGTTCTACGTCGAAAAATATGGAAGAAAAGTGAAAAAGATGAGTGAAAGACGAAGGGGTAGGGTTCTGTCGTTTTCTCTGGGCGAGAAAAGATAAAATCTGTCGAAGTCTGATCTCAATATATATATAGTCGCACGAGCTCGCGGGCGTTCCATGGCACCTCGGCGCGGAAGGGCATCTCACCGCGGCGCGGGACAGCAGCAGCGGCGTGGCAAGGCCCTTCTCCGCGGCGCGATGGACCCCAGCGGCGTGGCGGGTGAATTGGTTGGAGTCTCAGTCGAGGTCGAGGTGGCACCGCGGCGCGACAGGGGAGGTCATCGCGGCGCGGGGCTCTCGCGGACGTGGTACTGGAAGACGCAGCCTCAGTCGGTCTCGTGGCAGCTTCCCGGCGCAGAGGATGGCCTTGTCGCGGCACGGTGGAGCTGCTCGGCGCGAAGGGCTGCTGATACGTCTGGGCGCGGGCCATGGAGCAGCTGGCTTCCGTGCACGTCTTTACTTCTCGGGCTCGTTTATACTCATTTGGACTCGGAATTCGATTCCGTTTTTTTCTTCTTGTCGCCAACGAAGCCCTCTATTTTATTATTCTTGCACGGCCAATTTTTTCCAGAAATTCGATCCTTCCAAAGCTTTCGACCTGCGCACCAAAAACAAAGAAGAACCAAAAAGAAACACGAAAGAAATATATAGAAAACTAAAATAGGACTAGACGCAAAATAAACTACAAAACGAGCTAAAAACCAACTAAAAAACCTAATATGGGGGGAAAAAAAAAGAAAAATAATGACGAAAAACACAACAAAAATGGGACAAACAGATCCTTTTTTGAAAACGGGAGCCCCAATTTCACTGTAGATCCATCCATCAGTTCAGCTGCCCTCTCACCTCCTTCCACTGGAAAAGATGTTCTCTGCTGCATCCCAACCCGATCCGTCGACTCCCTCTTCCACGCCGCTTGGATCCTTCTGTTCTCCTTCCTCCACCCCCCGCGCCTCTTCCTGAAGCTGCCCAGCTTCACCCTCCCTTCTCCCATGACAGTCTATGCCCTCATCCTCCCCATCTACTTCATGGTCGTCTCCGGCATCGTCTACGACATCATCGTCGAGCCACCCGACATCGGATCCACACAGGACCCGTTCACCGGGGTCGTTGTTTGTCCCCTTTTTTTGTGTTTTTCGGTGTTGTTTTGTCATTCTTTTTCCCCCGTTTTAGGTCTTTTCGTTGGTTTTTATTCGTTTTTGTAGTTTATTGTGTCTTTCGCTCTATTTTGGTTTTCTATGTGTTTTTCGTGTGTTTTTCTGGTTTTTCTTCCTTTTTGGTGTGTAGGTCAGAAGCCCTTGAGGAATAGATTTAGCCCGAAAATTGACCGGGAAATCATGGTTGTGTAGAGGGTTCATTGGCAACATATAGAAAAAAGCGGAACTCAATTTCGAGCGTGGACGAGTCCGAACGGGCGCAAAAAGTGAAGTCGCGCGAAACACGTTTAGTGTGTAGGTCAAGAGCTTTTCAAGAATAATTTTTCCATGCAGGCATCATTAAATAGAAGAGTTCTTTGGCGACGCGTAGGAAAAAACGGAACTCAATTCCGAGTTCGGACGAGCCCAAAACGCAAAGTTGTGCACAACAGCCCCACACCGCGTCCGTGCCGCGGCACGGCACCTGCCGCGACCCGACCAGAGACCTTCCTAGGCACCGCCACGGCGCGGTGCCCTGTGCGACCCGCTTATTTTTCGACCTGTTTTTACTCGATTTTTGAGCCCTAAATATTTAGGCATGTTCCCAGACTTTAGAGAGACACTCCAAACTCGTCCTTTTTCATTTTTTCTCTTGAAGAAACACATTTTTCTTTAGTTTTTCATCTTGAATTTGATCTTGGAGGGTGACACTCCAAGAATTGATTTGTAAATAGTTTCTTAGAATTATTTCTCCTTTTTTTTCTTTTTCTCCCATGCTTGGATTGTTTGAAATAAAGACATTGGGATCAAACTCTTGCAAGTCCTAATCCGATTAAGTTTTCCATTCCATTTTATTATTGTTGATTGGGTTTATGTTCTTCAATTTGATTAACATGGAATTGAATCCAAGAATGAGGTAATTCATTCACCTAGGGTTAGGGATTTTGATTCTTGTTGTGAATTGTGTTGAATGTGCTTTGTTCAATCTATGCGAGTTGCTCGATTATTAGGGATTCGTTGATTGTTCATCTGCTAGGAAAACAACCTTTAGAACTGAAAGGGGATGGGTGTTGAACCTAGGCTCGTATGAGGTGAACGTTTTGTTCTAATCCATTTAAACAACTTTTAGAACCGAAAGGGGAGGAGTTGTTCGTATAGAGTAGACTTGTTCGTAAAAGTATTGTCTATGAATTTCTTGATTGAATGAGTTTGTCGTTTATGTGTGTGCTCTTGTTACGAAAAGTTATTGAGCATAAACCTCTAGACGTGTAGGCTTGTTGAATCATGTAACCGAACAAATAAGCGTTCAATATAGTTTAGGACTTTGTGAGATTTCACGACCCCTAGAACTTCTTCTATTTCTCTAGCAATTTATTTGTTATTTCATTATTCGCTTTCCTAGTTCTAATTAGTTTTAGATATTTCTCCAAATCATCCTTGATTAGAGTGTTTAGGATTTATTTTCTTTTCGTGTGTAATCGACACCAATTTTAGATTCCGAACCGCCTTGTTCGAGAGATCGACCCGAGGTCGGGAGTCATCTCGTACTCGGTAAAAATATAATTTGCTACAACAGTTGTCCATCCCGTCGTCTTCCTCCCGGGCCGGGTCAACGGGCAGTACATCATGGAGGGCCTCTTGTCAGGGTTCATGTTCGTGCAATTATCCAATTGTTTAAATAGTTCCATTCACTCGGTCCTATTGAACCGTACGCGACCTAAGTTTAATTTTTAAACTGGTGATCTGGAGGAAGCTTTGGTGGGAGAAGAAATCTGTTAAAACATACGATAACATCATGTGTGAAGAAAGTATGTCGCTTTGGTTTTTTATTTTCGATTGTATCTAGTTCAATTCTTAAATTGTCGAATACTTGTCGAATTATCCAATTAGCTATTTTAAAATTTTAAATTTAATATAATTTCACTTTGATAGATTTTACTGAAGAAGTATTGGTATCAGTGGATTTTCCAGTGACACAGTCTTGATTCGATTATATTGATATTTTTTCTTTCATACAATTCTTGTGTGTTATGAAGGTTATTTGTTTGTTTACAATTGATTTTATTTCTCCATTTAGTTACTATTTTGGCTCCATCCAATATTTCCTTCAGTTTGTCATATGATTAAAAAATAACGGTTCTAATTGCTGTGATCTCTGCTAGGGGCTCTTGACATTATGGTTGGGATTTTATACCCGAGAACCGGAGAATCGAACCGGACCGAACCGAAAATAACCGATTCGGTCCGGTTATTTGAAAAAAAAATATTCGGTTTCGGTTATTTTTTGCATGTTTCGGTTCCGGGTCCAGGTTCCTTTCCAAGTGTATGTGTATTAACCGAGAAACCGACTATATATGCGAAATATTCATGTTTTATATGTTTATATGTATGAATTGGTTCTGGTTCTTGTATGTAATATTCGGTTCCTCATTTTTGGCATTTCGGTTATCGGTTTTTCATGATATTTTTAGTCCGTAAGTTGCAATTTTTTGATCGGATCTTAACTCAAAACCGGTTTATTGTCGGTTATTTTTTATTATTCGGTTACCCGAAGAACTGGAAACACCGAAACGTTATAAACTAGTTCGGTCTTTTTCGGTTCCTGCAATTATTTATGTGTTAACCAAACCGGCTTTTTTGGTTCAGTTCCGGCTCCGGTTCATGAAAAATATGTTAATAATCATACTTGACTAGTCTAAATTTCACCTATATATTTTACATTCGTCTAATTTTCAACTATTTCATGCGTGAACGATCCACGTGACATGGTAGACGGATTAAAGAAATTATGATTAGTAATATGGTATCAATTTTACCACAAATAGTACCACATCTTCTTCTGCCCAGTACATGTTTTTAATCAATTAATACTTACTATGGTCAACGAAAATGGATTACTTCAATTTTGGTCAACATTTGCAAAATTAGTACAAGACCTAGAGTAAGATAGTACCAAATATATGGTGTTTTAGTACCAGATTATTATCTCCTATTTATAAAAAAACACCGAATTTCGGTCTTAAATAATATTTATATGACTCAGAATCATTCGCACATTAGTTTCTATAAGATTTAGAATGTGTTTAATTAAGTTTCATCGCAAATTGGTTATGAACTCAACACACTAATGAACAAACACTACTAATACGTTTGTAAAATGGATTATTAAATTTTGGTCAACGAAAATGGATTATTCAACTTTGGTCAACATTTGTAAAATTAGTATCAGTCCTAAAGTTAGATAGTACTCATTAAATGCTGTTTTAGTACCAGATATGGGGTCTTTAGTACCAACTCCAACGAACATTAAAAAAAATAAATTGAATTTCGTAAAATGGTACCAGTTTTTTCAAAAATAATACTACTTCTTCTTCTATGCAGTACCCGTTCTTGATGAATTAGTACCTACGTTGAAGAAAGAACAAAAAATGAATTACTTCAATTTCGGTCAATATTTTAAATATTAGTACCAGAACTAGAGTAATATAGTATCGCAATTAAGGTGTTCTATTACCAGATGTCGGGTCTTCAGTACTAACTCCGACGAACATTAAAAAAAAAAAACGAATTTTGTATGTTTACTTCGTGTTTACTTTTTGTTTTTTGAAGAGTTGATGAGGTGAAGGTGGTTGAATTTTGTGCATGTGGTAAATTTCATCTCTGATTTCTTGAACTGAATTTTAGTCCTACACTCGTGATTTGTAATACCAAAATTGAATTTGTACTACCAGATTTGAAGTTAGTTTTGGATCATACGTGAAAAATATTACCTATGTGCTAAAAAAAACTGATTTTTGTAAAATAGTACCTGTTTTGTCGCAAATAATACCACTTTTTCTGCTTCTTAATACCTGTTTTTAATCAATTAGTACCAACTTTTGGTCAACGAAAATAGATTATTCAATTGTGGTCAACATTTGTAATAATTGGTACTAGACCTAGAGTAAGATAGTACCATCTTTCGGTGTTTTAGTACCGGATATCGGGTCTTTAGTACCAACTCCGACGAACATAAAAGAAACACTAAATTTCGGTCTCAAATGATGTTTACATGACAAATAATCACCCTCACACTAGTTTGTATGAGATTTAACATGTTTTAAATTGAGTTTAATCGTAAAATGGTCATGAACTCGACACACTAATGAGAAAACACTACTAATACACTTCATTCCATTGAATGACACACTTCATCTCATAGAATCATCATACATGACTACTTCAAATTCTACCTATATGTCTTAACTTCCACTATTTTTCATCAAAATCAGGCGTGGACGATTTACGTGTCACGGTAGACATGAAGGATTAGAAAAATCTCGATTCTTAAAGTAGTACATGTTTTAGCCAATATAGTACCACTTCTTCTTCTACGTGGTACCTGTTTTGATCAATTAGTACCAACTTTTGGTCAACGAAAATAGATTATTCAATTGTAGTCAACATTTGCAATAATTGGTACCAGACCTAGAGTAAGATAGTACCAGTTTTCGGTGTTTAGTACCGGATATCGGGTCTTTAATACCAACTCCGACGAACATAAAAAAAACACTGAATTTTGGTCTCAAATGATGTTTATATGACCAATAATCACTCTCACATTAGTTTGTATGAGATTTAAAATGTTTTAAATTGAGTTTAATCATAAAATGGTCATGAACTCGACACACTAATGAGAAAACACTACTAATACACTTCATTTTATTGAATGACACACTCCATCTCATAGAATCATTATACATGACTACTCCAAATTCTACCTATATGTTTGAACTTCCACTATTTTTCATCCAAATCACGCGTTAACGATCTACGTGAAAAGGTAGACATGAAAGATTAAAAAAATCACGATTCCTAAAATAGTATCTGTTTTAGCTAAAATAATACCACATCTTTTTCTGCGTGGTACCTGTTTTTAATCGATTAGTACCTACTTTTGTGAACGAAAATGGATTATTTTAATTTTGGTCAACATTTACAAAAAGTAGTACCAGACATAGAGTAAGATAGTATCAGTTTTATGTTATTGTAGTACCTAATATTGAGTCTTTAGTACCACTTATAATGAACACATAAAAACACCGAATTTTGGTCTCAAATGATGTTTATATGACCCATAATCACTCTCACATTAGTTTATATGAAATTTAAAATGTTTTTAAATGAGTTTAATCGTAAGATGGTCATGAACTCGACACACCAATGAGAAAACACTACTAATACACTTCATTTTATTGAATGACACACTTCATCTCATAGAATCATCATACATGACTACTTCAAATTCTACCTATATATTTTAACTTCCACTATTTTTTATCCAAATTACGCGTTAACGATCCACCTGAAAAAGTAGACATGAAAGATTAAAAATACCACGATTCCTAAAATAGTACCTGTTTTAGCTAAAATAGTACCACATCTTTTTCTACTTGATACCTATTTTTAATCGATTAGTACCTACTTTTGTGAACAAAAATGAATTTATTTCAATTTTGGTCAACATTTACAAAAAGTAGTACTAGACATAGAGTAAGATAGTACCAGTTTTATATTGTTGTAGTTCCGGATATTGATTCTTTAGTACCGTTTGTAATGAACACATAAAAACACTGGTTTTCAGTCTCATGCATGACTACTCGAAATTCTACCTATAAAAATAATCAATAACTAACAAAGTAATAATCAATTCAAAATGGGGTCCGTATTTTTTCCACTTAATTTTCTTATTTTATTTAATATCTATGATAAAATGCATTAAAATGATTATTTTGCGTATTACTAAATTAGATTTTTATTATATTTGTTATAAAATATTTATGTTGTATTCATATTTTTGAAATAATTTTTTCAATAAATATAGTTTTATTTATAATGATTGATGTAATTATTTTTTATTTTATATATGAAATAAGAAAGTCATATCGAAGAAATTAAAATATGATTATTTTGAGATATAACATACAAAAAATAGAATAAAAATAAAAAATATAAGATTTAATAATAAAATGAATACATATTTATTATAACAATTATTATATGAATTATTAAATAAGAAACAATAAGAGTAATATATGGTAAACTTGAGAAAAAAAAAACTTAAAATAGTTTATGGTCATTCTCAAGCCTAAAACCGAACATGTACATGTGTCAATACAAAGCATATAATTATGCCAAATAAATTTCTGAAGCTTATGAGCCTGCCACTTAGGCTCAGGATATTCGAAAGTGATATATAGGGGTGATTTATAAAATTATCATTAATATCTTATGACAAGTTATTGTAGGAATATGCTAAAAATTGAGAATTATATTACCTTGATTTTATAATAATCAACCTAAAATTCGACTTTCATACACATACCAAATAAAATTTATACCACTTATTCAATTTTCAAAATTTAATACACTTCTATCCGTACCAAATGAAATTCATATAATTTAAATTTGGATATTTCATGTCAAAATAAAACCGACCTCATTTATTAATCATAATACTCAACTGTTATTGTATTATAAAATTTAGTGTCATATAATATTATTAAAATAAGTTTTTTTAAATTTAACAATCCAATTTTATTATATGCAAATATTTGATACTTCTAACAATAAAATTTTATACTCTAATAGCTTATACAACATGAATTCCTACTTACACTGCATAGTATAAGAGCCAAAACGCGACGAATTACGCTATAAACATTTTAAAACACTAACAGGAATATAATTTCAATATAAATTGCCGTTAAGGCAAGATTATATTATTTATTGTGAAACTCATGTGCATCAAAAAAGACCAAAATTTTAAATATTTATTTGTTGAAAATTAAGCACATCATTTATTTTTTAAAAAAAACAAATAAATACTATGATAGAATATCAACCAATTTAATGCGTGATATATCATGTTTATGAGTTTCATAAATGGAATGTTTCGCCTAAGTGATTTTAATTGCAACAATTATGGAATGTTGTGGTTGTGGATATATTAAGGGATGATCATTATTTATATAAAATTAAAAGACAAATTTGTTTCCATAAAATGAAAATTACCTAAAAATAAAATCAAAATATTTCTAGATTTCAAAATTAAAGCTCTATTGAGTTCATGACCACTTGTCGAGTAAACTTAATTAAACATATTTAAATACTCATAGAAACTAATGTATAAGTGATTTTGTAATGTAAACATCAATTTAAGACCGAAATTCGATGTTTTTTTTATGTTCATTCGAATTGGCACTGAAGGCGCGATATTGAGTACTAAAATACCATTTAATGAGTACTGTCTAACTCTAGGAGTGGTACTATTTTTACAAACATTGACCAAAATTAAAGTAATTCATATTGGTTGACCAAAGTAGGTTTTCCTTTTTCTTAATTTACCATATATTGCTCTTATTTTTTATTATTTAATTCATATAATAATTGTTATAAATATGTATTCTATTTATTTTTAAATATTTACAATTTTTTTAGTATTTTATTTCTTGTATATTATATCTCAAAATAATCATATTTTAACGATTTTCGATTTGACATCCATATTGCATATATAAAATAAAAAATAATTACATCTATCATTATAATAAAATTAAATTTATTAAAAAAATATTTTAAAAAAATACAAATACAATATAAATTATTTTTTAATAAATGTAATAAAATTTAATTCAGTAATACATCATAAAATAACCATTTTAATGCATTTTTTCATAGATTTTATAAAAAAAAAATTAAGTAAAAAATACGGGCCATTTTAAATTAACTACTACTTTGTTAGTTATTCATTTTTTTTATATTCATCATACATAATTTACAATAAAAAATTAAATCATTTTAATTTTTCTATTGTATAATATCAATATATTAAGTACCCGTGTAGTACACGGTGTCGTATTAGTTGATATATATTCCTTTTGAAAATTAGATAGATCTTTGAATAAATATTTTTAAATAAAATTTAAAATTTAAAATTTAATTTTAGAGAATTAGTTAATAAATTTGAACGACTGAATAACATACAACAAATTCTTAAAAATCGTAAGATCAATATAATATAGATTTATATGAAATATTGATTAGTAAAGTATAGAGTTTTTTTATTTGGATAGTTTATACAAAATTTAATTTATTTTACTTAATGAAAAGATATAAGTTTTAATATTATACTTAATATTCACATATGTTTTAAAATATAAGATAATTTTTTTTTCCAAAATATTTATTTTATGGAACCACATTGTATTCAAATTGAATATTTGAATAAAATTTTTAAAATGACACTTATTTTGAAATGAAATAATGTAAATTATTATCAGTTATATACACCGTACGAGTTGTGTATTAATTTTAAATAGACATATTCTATAATTTAGCACAATTTAAATTTCATATAACATTTTAAATAAATTAATATAGGGGGCGTATTAAATATTGATTTCATATTTTTTAACTTATAAATATTATTTAGTGAGAATTTTTAATATATGTAAATATTAATAAATACCTATTACTCGTGCATGGCACTAGATTCATACTAGTTAGTTTTAATGAGTTTACAAAGCTGATCCTATACTGGAATAGGACAATACCAGTGTTGTAGTAACCCTAGACTTATATACTATCATTTAGTACGATTTATACGAACAAACATAAATATATATTGTAAATATTTTGTTTACAAAAATGATAGCTCTAATGTACTAGGATAATACCAACTAGTACGACACCCGTGTACTACACGGGTTGTTTGGAAAAAAATATAAAACATAAAATAATAGAAAAAACACATGTTGTCATATAAAAGTGCAAAAATAGAAAAAAGTCGATATTATTTCAAATTTTAAAAAATTTCTTTGTACACAACATTAATGGTTTTATTTACAATATTTCCATCCTTATCACAACATGGAATTTTCAAGCATCTCTTACTTTTAACTCTAGATAATGCAACATAAAATATATACCTATTGTTATTCGTTAAATCCTTATAGGAAAATGATACAATCCCGTTGGGATTTGTAACCGTTAGATCATCATGTAACCGTCGTGGCAAGTTGATCTAATGGTTACCAATCCCGACATAATGATTCCGTAACGGGATTGTAGCATTTTCCATCCTTATATATCATAATTATCGGATTAATATAATTTCAAGCTATTGATAAGGATTTGATTTGTTATCTTTGTATTTAATTTAATAATAAATATAATTTTGGAGGAGATCGGATTAAGCAATATTGATATAGAAGAACGACACAGAAAAGTTGAAGCAAATGCAACAATATGATATCAACTTCTTTCTCACTTACACTCACATTTTTACGTAAAAGAAGTGAGATTGAACTAGTCAACAAGATAACGGTCAAAAAGTACACTGACGTGTGTAACAAGCATTAATCAAAGACCGTGAGGCGAAAATCATACTTGATTAATGTCCTAGCAAGATCTCGAATTTCTGTTGATCTATGCTTACGCAGGGCATTAACAGATTTACCGATTTCTGTCGCCTGTAAAAGAGACAAAATCAGACAACCATAGTTATTACCAAAAAGCGTACGTAAAACAGTTAAATGCTACAATCAACCACCAAATAGTCATAAAGTAAGGCAAAATTTCAACAGAACCTTTAGAGTCTCCACAAACAAATGCATCAACTGAAGCCTTCTCAGCGAATCAAACAACACCTCATCCGACTGCAACCAACAAAAAAAGTAATAATGAAGAAACAAAAAAAAAAGGGCAATGATTAAAACCAGAAACTGCCATAAAGTATAAACCAATCATAACCCAAAAATCAAACAAGGAAACAATAGTAAATATGATCATAAACACATCAATAGAGCATCTTATTAGTGAAGATAAGCCAAGGTCTCAAATCCGAAAGTGCAGATCTAGTAAAACCAAATCAAGAATCAAGTAAAGCGTTTCGAAATCTGTAAAGCATATTAGATCCATCCATTCAAACTCAAAAACAAAGCAAATAAAAGACATCCCATCTTCACAATCATGAAAGAAAACAATAAAAAAGTTACACGGCATAGGATTGATAGTTTGGAGGAGATTTACACGGCATAGGATTGATAGTTTCACAATGCATATCCGATTAATCCAATAGACGGCCAAGAATCCTAAATAATATATAGTTGTATTAATGTTGATTAATATAATTGTAATGCATATCCGAACCAAGTTAAGCAAAAGAATATAATTGTATTAATTTTTATCCGAACTAAAAGCCGAAGCATGTAATGTTGCCAAGTAAACTTTCGAAGCCTGGGAGCCAGCCATTTAGGCTCAGCATATTTTCAAATTATATTAAAGGGGAAGGGGATGTTATAACTTAGTACCTATATATTGTGTGGAAAGAAAGAGAAATAAAAATAATAAGAAATTAAGAAAAAATAGTTGTAGATGAGATAAATAGTAAAAGATGAAAAAAGAAAATAATAAAAAATCTATAAATATATAATAAGATTTACCATTTTTTAAAAATGGCAAGTCAACTCTTAGGTCAAATTCAGACTTAATTAATTAGTTTCTATTAATAGCAAAACATTTTTTATTAATATTACACATTAATTAAATGTAGTCCAAACCGACAAAAAATGCGGCGACTTAAAGCATTAATTAAAGATTTGAAATTTGAAATTTCAAATGCGGCGACTTAAATAAAAAAATGCGGCGTGTTTGTTTTTGGGAATTCAATGGGCCGGTTATATGGGCCAATTTGACATCAAATTTTGTGACATTACGTTGAGTATACTTATTATACTCTATTAGAATTACAATAAGCCCACTTCTTTATATCAATTTATAACTTATTATTAATAGACTAATATAAATCATATATATTTATTATATAATAATCAATTGATCAATTATAATATATTAAAACTTTTTACATTATATTTAACCATCCAAAGTTTACAAATGATAATTTCGATTGTTCCAAAGTTTGGTCTTATGTGACGTCACGAATGGTATTGCGATGGTCTTAAAAGTATATTTTGTTCAATAAATTTGAATGTTCTTAAACTTAATAATATATTACTAAGAAAAAAATTGTATATTAATTATGTCTTTCGTATTCTTCTTTACAGGATGTATGAGTTCACCCGCTTTTAAATGGATCATCTTATATTACACCACAAAAGAATAATCAATTGGAGAATTTTTCCTCTCATTATCAGAGTGCGCTGCATACACATCAGAGTCTACCATTATCTGATGTAACAAATGGCATATTGTGCTTCAATTCATATTTCAGTTACATAATATACTTTACTTAGTTTTTATCATATTAATAGATTATTTAAAAAAAAATTATTGCTTGAAACAGGGCGTTTGTCCGCATCGATAACTCATGTGCTCGACATACAAGATATTGACAGTAGATCACGCTGTTGAGAAAGTCTTGATTCCTATAATGAATATTACTCAATCAGGTCATAGGATTCCATTTAAGTTCCAGGGACGGCAGTTCCCACTTATGTTTGTATGCCATCGCCATAAACAAGAGTCAGAACAGTCTTTCTCGCCTGAAGAATCCTGTTTTTAGTCACGACCAATTATATGTTGATGTTTCACCTGTAACTAATAGAAGGGGATTAAAAATATTAGTTTGTGGGAAAGACGAGTTACTCAAAAATCAAACACATAATGTTGTGTACAATGAGATTTTTAAGAATATATGATTTTCTCGTGACCAATTTAAAACTCTCTTATAAATGAGTGCAGGTCAAGTTATAATATTCAACATGAAGCGTCCTTATCGCGTTCTATTTTTTGGTAACCAGTCTATATCAATAACCGGATATTTGGTTAATGATAGCACACGTCTTTATTTCAAGGAGCGGATATTCTTTGATATTTAATTAATCTGAACTGATTGCCTTGACTTTTCAATTTTTAAAAACTCTTTTTTTAAATATTTCGGCTTAAGATTCGGATTTCATTATACAAGTCATCGGATTGTTTGAATGAAAATGAATGAAAAGAACACCAAAAATAGGTAGCCTTATTCATATAATCAATCCTAAAATATTAGTTTGTTCACCAAAAAGAGACAAATCCTAGAAATCCTAAAATATTAGTTTGTTTACCAATCCTAAAATATTAGTTTGTTCACAAAAAATATTAGTTTGATTTTAAGGATTTGTCTCTTTTGAAAATATTAGTTTGTGATAATGAGGAGTTACCAAATAATCAAACTCATAATGTTGTGTACAAGGAGGTTTTTAATAATATATGATTGTTACCGAACTTTTTATGATTCAACAATGTTCCTATGTATTTTAATGATTTCAATTTCGATCCTAATGCACGTGAGGTTATATTATTCTTCCAAATTTTACATCCCGTGCATCGCACGGGTTACGTACTAGTATGTGAAAAGAGAGAAATAAAAACAATAAAAAAATGAGAATGATAGTGGTGGAGGGAGAGAGAAATAATAAAATAATAAGAAGAGATAGTTGGTAGTAGAATGATGTCACAAATCAATTTCTTTGTGATTTATTTTAATACGAGGGATTTAAATGGAAGATGAATATGAGAGTATGAAGTGAAATAGAAAGAAATTGACATGGAAGATGAAATTAGGATTATAGAGTTTTAAAGAAAGTTCTGCCTTATTAATATAAGCTCATTTTTCAGTTAAAAAAGATAATAATATAATTTTTTACCACATTTAATTTAGAATATTTTTTTAACCGCGTCTCAGTCATACATCACACAATTATAGTGCATTTGGAATTGAGCTATCCATAGATCGCCCTTTCCGAATTTGATCGGAGGCGTAGAGATCTCTTCCTCATCTTGCCGATCGGAATCCCGCGGCGTCGGTACCTGTAAGGTTTTGTTTGGACGGAGAATTTGTTTGTCTAAATTAAAAAATATGTACATGCCAGAGAATTTTAGAGATTTTTAATCGTGGTTCGTTCAATTACACTGTTTGATGTTTGCAGGGGTTCAATTACCTTCCCCGTGCTTATTGATTGGATAATATAGGGCTTTGTTTGTTTGTTTTTTATTCTCTTAACTTTTTGGTGTTTAGGGTTCCATACTGAGTGGGGAGTGGAGCTTACTTTCTTTATAATTAAATATTTCTTCAGATTCCTTCATTTTTATTTTCTTTGATGGGCCATCGTTATCACTAGTGTGGAGGACCGCTTCTCAAATCTCAAGTGACATAAGAGATTGCCTGCCGTTTTTAATTATGAAGATTTTTGCTGTTGGCTTAATGCTGCTGGAAATAAACAGCAAAATAATAGCCATTAAGTAACAGTTTAATTTCCTGCAGGATATGTAACTGTTTGCAATGTAGAAATTTTGTTATTTTTCCTTTGAGAATTTGTTGTGCTGTTAATTTTATTAGGAGTTTTGCTCCTGTAAGTGGTCATTTTAAATGCTTTTTTCATTATTAAGCAATTACTGTGCTTGCAGCTTACAGGGTGAAGTTAACTAACTGCCAGTAGATGTCATATCAAGAAGAACAAATGGATTATGCAGTTGATGATTATGTGATGGGTGAAGTAGAAGATGATTTGTATGATGGTGGTCGAATAATGGGAGACACAGAGTCGGACGAGGATGATGAAGATGACAATGAAAGTTTGGTGAGTTCGATCTGTGGTCACTAGTTTTGCTGGAAATATGAATGTCATATTCATTGTTTTGATTGTTGGTTTTTCTATTCCCAATGTCAACTTTAAATGTGGGATTAGGGTGAGATCACAGATACATCAGCTGCGGAAGCACGAAAAGGGAAGGATATCCAAGGAATCCCATGGAAGAAGCTAAGCATATCTCGGGATAAGTATAGGCAGACTAGAATAGAACAGTATAAGAACTATGAGAATGTACCCCAATCCGGGGAAGGTTCAGAGAAGGTAAATATTAAAACAAAATTGGGATTGGTTGCAAATTTGCTACTCTCTATAGTTATGTGATTTTCCTTTTGGATTTTGTTAGCAATGCAAAGTAACAAGGAAAGGTGGAGTGTATTATGAGTTCTGGCAGAACACCAGAGCGGTAAAATCAACCATTCTTCATTTCCAGGTATGGGACAGTACATCCTATCCTACTCTAATAATTTCTATCTTCATTTTGGACGACTTTGGGACATTTGTTTTGCTACGGCCCAATCATGTTGATTAGTATTGAGGTGGTCTGTGCTTGTACTTAGTGCAACAGAACTTTGTATAAGTGCACTCCAATTTTGTTCTGATTATTTTTTATATTTGTTTCCAAACTGATTAGCTGATTTTAGCCACAGCTGGATGAAACAGATGAAAGACTATGCATTGGCCTGCTTGGCTGCATCATGAAACATTCAATAATGATTTGTAAACTTAGGTGCTATGGTTATAAATAGTGTCTGCTACCACATTAGATGGGTAATGAATGCAATTTTACATCCATGGGGGCTTATCTTATAGTCACGTTAATGTTTCAGTGCTGTAATGTCATAGACCCACAACAAAACCAGACAAAAAGTTTTGTTCTAAGTTGCATTCTGGCGCCATTCATGATTTGTGTCTTTATTTTTTTTTTTTTTTTATTAGACAACTTGTAGGTTTCAAATTTTGTTTTAATTGGATGTATACACACCTATTCGCATAAAATCTCATTCTCTAATTTGTGTTGTGTATATGTGGAGTAATTTTTATTTGAATTTGCTATCTGATTGCAGTTGAGGAACCTAGTTTGGTCGACATCAAAGCATGATGTTTACTTAATGTCACATTTCTCTGTTATCCATTGGTCATCACTAAGTTCTAGAAAGACAGAAGTTCTTAATGTTTCCGGACATGTGGTTCCTTCTGAGGTGCAAATCTTTTATCTGATCTTAAGTTGAGTCGTTTAAGATATATTCCGGTATTTTCTATGGTGAATACTGGTTGCGACACTTCAATGCTTTCTTACAGAGACATCCTGGGAGTTTACTGGAAGGATTTACTCAGACCCAAGTAAGTACTATGGCAGTCCGTGACAATTTGTTGATAGCTGGAGGATTCCAGGGAGAACTTATTTGCAAGGTATACTCTCTTTTGGTGAAAACTTTACTTAGCTTTTTTTCTGTGTGTCAATCAACAGCTGACCTACCTTTTCTTTTCTTTTCTTTTCTTTTCTTTTTTTCTCTAAATATGATATTGTTGGGCCATTTCCATGAGCTCATTTCTTTTTAGGTTAAGTGATTAAAAGATGTTGAAGTATGTGCTTCCCTTTTTAATTGCTGAGTTTGTTTCCTGTCCATTTTCTATCTCCGATTATGCTGCAGGAAATAAAAGATTAGGTTTTTTAAATTGTTCAGGTCGTGAGTAGATAGCTAGGACACTTAAATGAGAGTAACTCTGCTCCGAACCGAAATTTTCTTTTGTTTCTGGATGGTTTGTTGAAGAATTCTCCATTTGATGCAGTACCTGGACAGACCTGGTGTTAGCTTTTGTACAAGGACAACTTATGATGAAAATGCCATCACAAATGCAATTGAGATCTATGATAGTCCAAGGTGAACCTCACTCTCACCTACCCAAAGGCCTCCCTAAATGATATCTCTGAAGCAGAAATTCACTAATGCTGGAATGCCATTTATATCTACCCATATTCTCCAACTAATAAGGTTTTAAACCACAACCAGTGGTGCTGTTCATTTCACAGCTTCAAATAATGATTGTGGAATACGAGATTTCGACATGGAGAGATTTCAGCTTGTTAAGCATTTCTGTTATCCGTGGCCTGTAAATGTAAGTTATATTTCTTATATATCTTAAATTTGCTCTTGAAGTTGGACATGTCTAAGATTTGATCATGTTGTTGAAAATGTATTACCTCTGAAATTTTAAGTTTGTCACCATCCTTTTATGTATATAATTTGCATCCTGCTACCCATGCTAAAATATCTATTCCTAGCTTGCTTGTGCATTATGACAGGCAAGTATTTTATGGATAATGGTTGTATGACAAGGCCATCTTATGTTTAAATTTCCTGGTAAGTGGCAAAGTTTGTGCCTGTAACATGTTGCTGTTTTGATAGAATGTGTATAGTAAGTTTTTGCATGGAGAAGATGTTCCACTTGCCGAAAATTTGCATTGGTTGCTATTGAAGTAGTTGAGTCACAAATACGCAGTCTATTTGAACTTGTTACTTTACTTTGATATAGTGCTTGAGCTGAATGTTACAGGTAAACCTTTGCCTTGTTTACTCCATATAATGCTAGATTAGATGTAAGCATGAGCAAGTACATGAAATTTCTCACTCACAAATGCTTGAAGATTCTTGAGGCTTTAGTATCTAGGTGGTTGTATAAAAACCTCATCTTGAAGTATTATTTTCTCTGTCTTGACTTCTAAGAATCCATTGCATCTCTGTATGTGTGTGTGTGTTGTGAGAGAGAGAGAGAGAGAGAGAGAGAGAGAGAGAGAGAGAGANTTTTTTTTTTCCTTTTTGTTTGGTGAATATATTCGACGCTTGTGTTGATTTACATGCAGCATACTGCTCTAAGTCCAGATACTAAGATTTTAGCAATTGTTGGCGACAATCCTGAGGGGATGCTCGTGGATTCTCAAACTGGGAAGGTAAAACTAATTTTGGAAAACAATATACAGAATTCAAGAAGCTTATGATATCCCAATTTCTTACTTATATAATACTCATTTCGGTTGCCATGGTCTCTTTCTTTTGTTTCATAGACAATTGCGACTCTTTCTGGGCATCTGGACTTCTCTTTTGCCTCCGCATGGCACCCTAACGGCCACATCTTTGCAACTGGGAACCAGGACAAAACGTGCCGGGTTTGGGACGCTCGAAACCTTTCCAGATCAGTTTCTGTACTCAAAGGAAACCTTGGCGCCGTACGCTCCATACGTTTCTCATCTGACGGGCAGTTCATGGCTATGGCTGAGCCGGCAGATTTTGTCCATGTGTACGATGTGAAGAACGATTTCGACAGGGAGCAGGAGATCGACTTTTTCGGTGAGATATCTGGAGTCTCATTCAGTCCCAATACTGATTCCCTTTTCATCGGTGTGTGGGACCGAACCTACGGAAGCCTCCTTCAGTACAATCGGTGCAGGAACAACTCGTATCTTGACTGTATAGTGTGAATCGTCCGTTTAGTTACGAGTTTATCGAGCCTAATAGTTGGAGACAAACACGATTGTCTGTCTTTAGTTTATTTAGAATTTGCATATCTGAAATGGATATCTGCGACTTGTTGTGACTTGGCCGACTGTTATGTTTTCTTCGAATAATGGTGACAGGTGTCGGGGAAGTGAATAATAGAGGCCTTGGTTGTGACTGACTGAAACTTTCTATTCGAGCACAAGGCTTAATTTTTCGTAGAAGTCACTTGGTAATGTATGTGTATATTACGGGAGAACAATTTGCAACATCACACAACTTTTTTCTGGGTTTGAGAAGGTACTTTCTGCCTGCTCTCAGTTGCTTTTCATTGTTTATAACCGTTGCGTTTCTCTTTGAAAGTGCGGTGTCTAATAAAGGGTCTGCAATATTGGGTAAAACCCCGAACATATTACTGTGATTGGAGAGTAAATCAAGGTTTCCATTTAGGGAAATCAGCCGTTCTGGACTCAGCAAGTAGGTTATGGAGCTAGCTGATGGATCATTTATGGAGTAATTCATGAATTGAATATACCATTTGTGATAGTTGTGAATGGCTACATGAGCCGTGACATCCAACAGATCCATTGCAAAACTGATGAACTCAGGTCAGTCTTCTAACTCTCCTTCGTCACTTTTTCTTCAACTTTGTATTCACACTTTCATCATTGGCCGACCTTCGTCTACTTTTTCTTCAACTTTGTATTCACACTTTCATCATTGGCCAACGAGTCCTCATTCATCTGCCATGCAATCCTCAATTGCAGCCAACAGTTCTCGACTGAAAACCAAATTATCTTCACCATCTCTTTCTTCCACTCTAAAATGCACTCTTCCATTATTACTTCCAAATTTGGGAGTCACGTACGTATCAGCAGAATAAATTTGCCTGCCCTCTGTGTTGCTGAGCAAACTAAGGCATAGAGCTGGTCTGTGCTGCTATCAGAAGATAGTAATACTTCCCAAGCTACTGCCGAGCTTTGGAAGCCATGGTTACTTAGTTCCTCTCTAATTCTCATCGACCGAGCAATCGTCTTTGAGTATATGCACCCCATTTTTGGAGATTGTTGTTTAACTTGGTCTCTGGACAAAAGTGGAAAGGGGTGATGACCATAAATATATCACCAAAGTGGATGCCAGAAGTTAAATAAATAAATAAGAAAATCACAGTTCATTCAAAACGAGTTCCATTTTCTGAACTTCACATATTATCAGTATCCATAACTGAAGAAAACAGGATAATGATCTTGGCTTATGTGATTGTGTAACAAAAGAGGAACCAGGAGTTTATTATATGACATTTAGTGGTAATATTTGAATGCGTGTTTAAGGCTTCAGATTCCAAAGCTCACCCCAGGACTTGGGAAGCAAAGCCAAGGTTGCTGAGTATAAGTGCTTCTTGTAAATCCAAAAGAGATTGAAGCATATTTTTAAGAACCGGAAAAGGAAATTCTTTCAACTTACATTTGCTCTTTTTTTTTTTTTTTTTTTTTTTTTTTTTTTTTTTTTTTTATTGCTTGTTGTTTTGTCTGGTCCAGAAGCTTCTCAGGCGCAAGCATTTACTTTTCTAGTTATTTTTTCGGACTTCACGGGAGAAAATAAATGATGGTGTACTAAACTTGACTCTGCTAAAGATATTTCCAGGCTTTTCAGACAGCTAACTATCTGCGCCTCTTTTGGTGTTTGTTTCAATTATTGTACAAAAATTGATGAACTTGTTCATTCTCTAAGATAATTATTATTTCTTTACTAAAGTACATTAATAATATATGTCTGATTTCAAAACTTTGTCCTTAACAGAATCATGAAGGAGTAAGACACAACAATACCAATATCCAACTTCAGACAAACCAGTGGCAATAATTTTTTAGGCCTGCAGCCGTAGAGTTACCTTCACTAGTGTGACAATCAGTTAATAGCAGTGTTTTTATATTAAATACTAAGCTGAGATCAGTAAGGCTGGGACGGGTACGGGTTAAGGCAACAAGAATGAGCAAAACCAGCAAACCACATGTTAAAGTCATCGATTACTATGCACGGAAGGCCTGCATTAAAAGTGTTCCCATCTCCATGACCTTACCCTACGGTTCTTTATACGATTCTGACTTATGTTGACTGACAATCGCCTACCAGTTCAAGGTAAGATTATGGCCAAAAGTCAGCACGAGTAATAACACAAGATTTCGTCCGAACTTAAATAAAAGAACAGAGGCCCGCACATACAGTTCTCAATACAAACGAAATTCAGAACAGAAAATTACAATAAAATATAATAAAGTCCAAGAATTCCACGAACAGATCACGACCGTCGAAAGGCATTGCTTTCGGCCGCCGATCTACCCTGAGAATAATGCATCCGGCGCCTTACGCTCTCCTCAATAGACTTGCTCCCTCCTTTCTCAGCACCATACACACTCTTCTGAACAGAATCCAAGAAATTCCTCCCAACAGAAGCCTGATCCTTAACGGCTTCGTGGGCCTCACTATCAGCCGCTGTCTTCAGTCTTTTCCATCTCTGCTGCTCGTGTATCTCAGCATCTGTCTGCATCTCCCTAAGCCGAGCTGCCCTCTCCTCCTCAGAAAGCTTAACGGGATTTCGAGGCTTGCTGCTGTCGTTGGGCCCAGGCCTCGGAGGCCTATCAGAAGAGGAACCAAGATGTCCCCGCGTTTCTTCATGTTGAGAAGTGTAATAATCTCTTGTCGTCTTACTTTTATGACGATCGTCATTTTTCTCGCGATATTTCCTCCTTAGAGCGTCCTCTCGGCCCGTTTCTTTGTCTGAGGAAGAGTGGGCCCGCCTGCTGGAGGGCTTGTCAGGTTTGGAACTATTGTGATGGCTTCTTGTCTGTTTCTCGTGGTCAGATTCGTTTTCAGACGAGTGCGAACGGTGTTTGGATTTCTTCCTGTGATGATGCTTTTTCTTGTGTTTCTTCACGTCTTTTTCCTTTTCTGCTTGTACCTGGAAAGCCCGAAATCTGTTAATATACCACTATTTCACAAGCTTCAAATAAGCTCTCATAATACGTCAATAGCAACAAAACGTTTCCACAACAAAACAACTTTCACAGTAAAGGATAAAAGTATAGATTCCATTCACCAATATCATATTATACACAACTAAAATATATAACATAACATCACCATAGGCTTGACGTGGTCCAATTTCCATTCGAGTCAACGAATCCTTTACCACCCAAAAAACCACAGAAAAAAATCAGCATTAGAGATGAACAGGACACAACTGTGCTTGTAGAGAACAAACTTTACATCACCAAATTACAGAAAAAATCAGGATGGAAAGGTCATGATATGAACAACCTTTTTGGAACCACCACGTCAGATTCTTCACAGGTTATATGTACATACATACATCAGGTCCTAGGCATCACAAAACTTAACAGTTAATGGCAGAAAAGAAGAAATTTTGCTATTGGATCTTTCCTTCCGAGGCTTGTACCTATTTAATAAGCAGGATCAAAGAAGATAAAACATTGTCATGTTTGCTATACTTCAATTGTTTGTGAGCAGCAATGTATAATCCATTCATGTAGAACGATTGCTAAGTAGAGATGGGCTAAGATGGAGGTTTTGTAGTGCTATTGATAAAAGAGGAAACACCCTGATGTTATCCAACATTTAAGGTCATAACTACTACCACATTGGGTGACATGACAGATCCGGCAACCTCCCAGTTGTAAAATAATGCAGTAGCTTTGTTAGTCACAAAGAACTCTTGAAGCAAGCTTGATTACCATATTATTCACAACTAAGATAATGCAGTAGCTTTGTTAGTCTACAAGCACTTCATGTCATATGCAGCTTAGTACAAGCGATTCGGGACTTACAGATTTGCGAATCATGGCCATCTGGACAGGATTATTCTTGACACGAGCAAGAGCTTCTTGTTCTCTCTGCCGGATCAAAAGTAAAGGGTCTGAATGAAGTTTCCTCCACGCATCATTAGCCGACTGAGATTTCTCCTCAAAAAGGGCTCCTGGCACTGCGGATTGCTACAACATATAACAAATTCGCCAGAGTAAAATTGCAGATCGAAATATCGAACTTTCGAAAGAACTATCACATGACATATATAGAACATACTAAATCTTCAATCAAGCAAGTACCTTGGCAGAAGCAGATGACGTTGATGCAGTGGCATCAGGTTCGGTTTTTGGTAAAGATTCAAGCGCTTTGAAACTGGAACTCCCTTTCCCAACTGCCAATCCCGATTCATACAAAAAGTCCAATCGCTCTTGCTTCCTGAAAGGCAAATAACAATTAAATAAGAAAAACTAGTAACCCTAAAATGAAAATAACCCAGTTCAAAAACCCTAGAAAGGCAGAAACAAATTCAGGGAAGGGGTGAAACTACGGAATGAGGCCGGCTTGTTCTTGGAGCTGACGAAACTCAGCTCTCTCGCGTTCCTCGTGGATCTGCTTACGGAGTTCTTCGAGCTTTCTCTGCTCGGCTTCGTGCTTTTGCTCGGCTTTCCACACATTCTCGACGTTTCGGAGGCTGCCCGTGTGCCATCCCTTCTTGTTCAGAAACTTGAGCGCCATGGAAAAACGATTGATTTCCGGTTAACGACGGGGGATAGGCGATACAGAATGCGTATCTTCTCCTGGGGATTAAATAGAACAAAATCAGACGGTAATTTTGCTTTCGAGACAAAGGTCTGAGATTGACTTGTGATTTATCTAGGCTAAAACTGCGATAAGCAAAGTGCGCGAAGCTATTGATCAAGATCGTTTAGGCCGTGCTTGTTTATAAAAAACTGTTTTTTTTTTTTGTTTTTTGTTTTTTTTTTTTAGAAAAGGTTGCTATGATTAAATGTTAGTTGGACTTTAAATATGTATTAAAATAATATTTAAAATAATAATTAAAATTGATTTGATGTAAAAGTAAAAATAAATTATTTGTAATGATAGATAGTTAAAATTATATGAGTGAATGAATAATGATTAAAGTTGATGTGATGTGTAACAATGTTTGAATACTATTATTTAACTATATTGATAATATTGAGGGTAGTGAGTTGAATTAAAGTTGAGTTAGATTTTTCTTTTTTTAAGCAAAACCTTATGGATTGGTTGGAACTGTGATAATCAACGCTGACGATGTTGGTTAAATACGAGACTTGTGTTCAACAATTTTTTGATATCTTATTGTTTAAGGTTGTCAACAATGAATACATAAGTTTTAAAGAAATAAAAATATCAAAATTGCAACTAAGATCCTAGGAAACCTAAATTAATAAAGCAATCTAGTAAATAAAAAAATTGCAAACAAGTCTTTGTTTCACGTCGGACTGTCGCAGCGCTGCACGACTTCGAGACGCGAGCCCTGGAGCTACTGAGGCCTCAGTTGGGTCGCGGCGCGAGGCTCGCGTGGCGACCAGCTATGCGGTCGTCGACTGCATGGTCGTTCGACAGTGCGACGCACCTGCCTATCGTTCTTGCGCTCTTGTGTCTGCTTGTCCCGTCTCCTTAATACGAGCACGACAATCTCTATCATTCTTGAGTATTCGTCTTTCATCCGCATCATTCTCGTCCCCTTCAAGTAAATCCTTGTCCTCAAGGATAAAATTCAGAAACTGATTGTGCATATCGTGTGTTGCGCAAATTGTCCTTCGATCTGGTTTGAGCTGCAATCCGTCGACTTAAATCGTCTTGACGTCTCTGTTGACTTGCAAAATGCTGGGAGGGGTCCCGGCCGAAAACACTCTAACCCCAAGTCAGTTCTCGTTTGACACTAATGCAACAATAGAGAAATTGCACGTGTACATGTGTGTTGTGTAAAAATAAGAACATGTGTCCCTTTTATAGTTGAGGTTAAGTATGAGCCAAAGAACTCCTCTTGAACAAGAAGTCTTCTTTTATCCTTATACTTGTTGAGTTCCGAATCTCCCTACATATAGTCCTTGATAGTACACACATCCTGACGTTCGAGTCGCCTTTTTCTATCCAACCTCCAACCTAGAGTTACTACTTTGCCCCCTAGGTTAACTTTGCTGGTATGAGCACCGAGGTCGGCTTAATGGCCGACCTCACCACCATATTCAGGCGCGGATCTAGCTGAATCCTCCACACTACAACTTGGCCCCTAGTTCACTAAATGCCACGCTCAGCGCCCCGCTAGATTGCACGTTTGTATGAATTGTCGAGCTCACAAACGAGCTCTTGCCGAGATATAGAGTCGGCCACCGAACCCCGAGCATTCTGCAGATAAACGCCGAGCTTCACAGGAGCTCGGCCAATGGTATTTTCTTACGAGCCCTTATGCTATATCATCTAGTCCCCCCATTTCATGGACGAGCTGCCGTGGCTCATGCAGGAAATATTTAAGAATAGCAATCATGGCGAGTAGTTGTACTTCTCTGGTGCTATTTCTAAGCACGTAATCCTTTCCAAAGAGCCTGTCACATCGGTCTGGTTTTTTATAGACGCAATCTCGCCCATCACTATTCTCTTTTCTGACACAAGTTTTCATGATGAGCTGACCTCGGGAAATGTTTAATTTTGGGGCTGTACCTTTCCCACCGTTGATCTTCAGATGGACTTAAACGGTCATGATGTAGCCGAGCTTTCGATTTTTAACCCATCTTCTAACACACGCCACCAACACCATCCGTTGATCTGCTTCTCAAAACAAACCGCGGTGATGAGCCAACCTCTGAGCTCCTTTTAATCCAGACTATACAATCCCTTGATCGCACGATTCTAATTCAACCTAGTCGATTCGCCTTCTACCATCACACACACACACAAACACACACACACACACACATACACACACACACACACACATATATATATATATTAGACATAATTTTCCTCAGAACTTCCACCATTGTCTTTAGAATTTCTTCTATTTTCTTCGGCGCTCCTATCCTTCTTAGGCGAACTTTACTTACGAGGCCCGTGACCCTTCTATCAACACAACTATGTCGAACAGCTTTATGGGTACGGGATATTTTCTTTCCTTTGCTTACCATGCTTCTTCTACTATGGTTATCGTTACTCTCATGCTGCACATGTGCTTACATATTTATTATCCTGTGAACTTTGCATGTTGTATTTACGCCACTAGAGCCTCTCGTCCCTTCGACTAACTCTAACACCTACTCCCCTCAAACTCAGAGCCCTTAGGTGAACCTTTGGTGACTCTAGCCTTATTGGCTTTGGCGGGTGCGACCAACCCCACTTTGTCGGGCGCAGTTGATAAAGCCAAGGGGGTTTACCCCATCGTTAGGGTATCTCGTCCCAACCTTATTTCTTCTTACTCTACCCACCAAATAGCAGAACTTTTCGAGGAGGTCGAGCTCCCTATAGGTTGGGACCTCAAAATTCCACAAACCGAAAATACTTACGATAATCCACCCCTCGACTACTACACTTTTTTCCTTGACCAGGCCGCGACCGGGCTAAGGTTCCTGCTACTCGATGATCTATTGGAGCTCAGTAAGCTCTATCGTTTACCGCTGAACCACTTCTCTTCTAAAGCCATTAGGTTGCTCGTAGGCGTTATCAGTCTGCCGAGCTAGATTAGGTAGACTTGACCCCGACCTTTGCTTCTATTGTCTTTGGATGAAACCCCTTGGAATCTCATATTATTTTTCCAATCGCCACAGCGCGCATTTTCTTAGCCAACCTAATTCCAAAGTGCACAATTGGAAAAACAAGTTTTATTTTGTTCGTCTGCCACCCCATACGTTTGATTTTTCGCCCGAATGGCTACACGAGCTACCCTGACCAATGCAAAAATACCAAGCCTGACTCCGAGTAGGACGCCCTTATACAACAATAGAATAATTGACCTATTCAAGCCGTAAAACTGCTCGGCTCCCCAGTGGGACGCAGGTAGGCATGACAACCTCGGGTTGACAACCTTTGTTTAAGTCTTGCATTATGTGTTGACAATATTCCTAATACAACGTTGGTATGCAGAGGTCATGTTCAGCTCGGCCGCCACCACCTCGAAGACAAAGGAGGCTCAAACTGCCCTCAAGTGACCGAGCACGTCCTTGACCTAGAGAACCCCGACCTACAAACCAAACGCCATCAGTACTGACGACCTCCCCAGAAGCAATTCAAGAGTAAGCGCCGCAAAGTGACCAAGAAGCGTCGCAAAAGGAAGGCGAGCAGACGCGTAACAGGAGGCCTGCTCGAAGCCAGTGTTATAGCAGACCACGTCCTTTGCTGGTAACAATGACGTGGGGTCGGAGGCCTCCTACCTACTCTCTATCTTTCCCGAGGGGAAAACCTTGCGCTGGAAAGATATCAAGAGTCGAGCTGCCGCCACCATGTATCACCTTGCTCTGGTAATACTGATTACGAATAGATGCGTACCTATTACCCTTACGATTATTAGAATTAACGATCTACTTTGCAGACACTTGCCGAGATGACTCCCACTTTGGATGAAGAAATTGAGGGTTAGTCCGAGGTGGAGAAACTTCAGGGCAAGCTCGACAACAAAATGGCCGAGATGGCCAGTATGAAAGAAGCCTTCGACCGTCAGAATGAGGTATAGACAAGCTGACTGCACAGCTTGAGTCCATGGAGACCGAGTCCGCTGAGCTGAAAAATAAGTTACTCGCCGATGAGTCCGAGCTTGGTTCACTTCGCCAATGTTTGGACCAACGCGGTGCTCGGGCTCGCGAGGACAGCGAGGCTTCTTTCCTCTCATCTGTTTCAGGTGCGAGCTTTCTTGACTACTACCGGACCGAGCTACTGAAGTACTTTCAGCACCACTCACTACCTCTCTTGGCTCGTACCAGCATGCCTTGCCTCGAATATTTCAAGGAATGAGTCAAACGTACCCAAGCTCAGGCTGAGGCGCAGGGATTTACGGGCTCTTGGGATGAAGCCTCCATGATACGAGGTCTTCCCGACCCCGAAGGATGGAATGGCGACAAGTCGCAGCCTACTAACATCCCTTGGTGGGAGCCAGTACTTGACGTCGCCAAGGCTAAGGTCGGACTCACGGAGAGGATGAGGAGAAGGTGGACAAGGAGGGAGAAACATCGTCCTCTTAGAATTATGTGCTTGAAATGATATTTTGAACTTTTTTTATTTTGGTTTGTAATATTGCCCTCGTGAACTGGGCATCTTTTATTTTAACCATTTCTTGTATGAATGTGACATTTTGCCTTCTACTACTTTATTTTTGAATCAATGACTTTCATTCCATACGAATGGTGTAATTTTTATTTATGTATTCCTGCTGATCATCATCGAGCTCGCGCATACGTGGTGCCACAAACCAGCCGATGCCCTAATGCGGCAGTGAGTTAGGGGGTGATTGTTTATCAATTCTCAATTCACCTATAAAAAAACCAATCAAAACTCAAGCTTAACTCAACTATAACCCAACTCCACTATCTCCAATATTATCAATATAATTAAATAATATCAACCAATCACTCAACCAATCATTCTTACACATTACATCAACTTTAATTCACTATTCATCCACTCACATAATTTTAACTAACCACCACTTCTAATCATTTTTCTCTTACTTTTACATCATATCAACTTTAATTCTTTTATTTTAAATATTACTTTAATATATCCACTAACAATTAATCATACCAACTTTTTTTCAAAATTAACTAAAGTTAAAAAAAACAAATTAATTGCTAGATGAATTCATAAACAATCACCCCCTTAAACTCTATACCGGGCTCCGGTAAGTCGACAATCGTTCGAATAAGCCGACAATCTTTGACTTATTTTAAGTTCAAGGTCTGAATGTCAAGTTCTACAAGCTCGACAACGATATGGTAGGCTTTCGCTTTACCATGGACATTGTCGAGCTCCGCGAGCTCGAGCTATGTTGAGACGGGCTTTTGCCTTATCACTACCGTCGTCGAGCTCTGCGAGCTCGAGCGACGATTCGACAGGCTCTATCACGACCGCCCCGAGCTCTGTGAGCTCGAGCAATGGTTTGATAGGTTGTGGCCCTATTACGATCATCGTCGAGCTCTACGAACTTGAGCGATGGTTCAACAGGCTGTCGCCCTACCGCGATCATCGCCCAACTTCACGAGCTCGAACAACAATGGTTTAATAGGCTATCGCCCTACCGCGATCATCGCCGAGCACCGTGAGCTCAAACAACGATGGTTCAGTAGGCTATTGCCCTACCACGATCATCGTCGAGCTCGAAAAACGATGGTTTAACAAGCTGTCGCCCTACCGTGATCATCGACAAGCCCCGCGAGCTCAAACAACGATGGTTCAACATGTTGTCGCCCTACCACGATCATCGCCGACCTCCGCAGACTCAACCGATGATCCAAGAGGCTGTCGCCCTACCACGATTATCGTCGAGCTCCACGAATTCGAACGATGATTAAATAAATGTTGGAATCAGTACTACAATACAAGATTTATGCAAGGAGTTCATTTTAGAAGAGTTTAGGTTTACAAGTGCTCGTTGGAGTACTCTTGCGCTGACGTCACACTGAAATTGCAAATAATTTCTTTTCTGGACCAGCCCTACTTTAGAAGTTTAGGGCTACACACACTTCTTCGCTTGGTGATAAGCGCGGGTTCCATGGCGAATCATCTCTACGGCTACTCCGCCGGCGGTTACGGCAGCGGCGGCGGCGGTACCACCAGCATTTATACCTCTCGATCCGGCGCCGACTCTTACCCCTCTGGCGACACTTCGTTGCTCGGAACTTCCGCTAGGTACTTAACTGGAGACTCTATTTCCTCCTCATCCACTCTGTCCTCGTCATTGCACAGCAACTCTGCTAGGATCTCCAGCTTATCCATCACCACTCCCACGCACTCCTATGGCCCCCCTGGTGTCGATGCGGGGTCTGCAGCCGCTGACTCGCTTTACGCCGGCCTGAAGCGCACTTCAGTTGAGTGTAAGTAATCTTTCACCACCTTCTGTTGGTATGCTTATGTTTACATTTTGTTGGGCAACTCTTCTGAAAGAATTGTTATTTGGGTTGGTTGTGTGGAGTTCGATTTCATTGGATTTCTTGGTAGATTCCGATAGCAATACGTGCTAAAAGTATTTATATTTTCAGGCGGTATAAATATAGGTTTCCGTGAATTATTGGTTGGTTCTTGAATTCCTGGAGGGGCTGGAGGCAGAGATGGGGAATTTAGGTGTCTATGGTGAACTTGTTAGCTGTTGATGGCTTTAGTTTAAATTTATATATCTGATTCTCAACCAATGTTTTGAAAAAGTCATAGGTTGGTGCTGGATTTGGGCATAGTGCCTGGGTGGATTTAGGCGGGATTAGATAGTGGATATGAAGGAAATTATAGGTGAACAGTGTTGTCAGAACTATATAGCTATTCAGAGCACGTAATGATTTTTAGTTATTTATTTTGTGATGAATTGCATGACTCATAATCTTATCTATGATCTATCCTTGCTGGATCAATAAATGTTTTTGCGACTTAATGTTTTGTTTTTCCTGGTAAAATCAACGACGTGGATAAATGATGTATCTTGATAAACGATGTATTTTTTTGTATATGACACGCGAGTGTTTACTCAGTATCTTACAATTTAGTTTGATACTGCTCAGGGAGAAATGGTTTACTAATTTAAGTTTATCTTACCGTGAGGCACTGTAGATGCTTCACGAAGAATGTAATTTGGAGTATGTTAATATCAGATTTTCGTCGAGTATTATATTGATGGCATTTCGTCTGGCTGATGCACCATATTACTGAAAGATATACTATATTTCCATATCTGATGTATTTAGGACTATTCATGCTGTGATACATATATTGAAAGCAATTCTGCCCTACGGACTATTAAAATTGCGTGAAATAAGTTAATTTATTTTTTCAGTCGTCATCTTAGAGTGGAGTGGTGTGGCGGCTGTTGATTCTTAACTTATATTATGGAATCTGCTACTCATCTATGTTAATTTGGAAGTATATGTACCTAATACATAACTAGCTATTTGAACCTTATGTTATCTCATCTGACTCTTAATTTACATGGGTCCAAACTGATAAGTTTGCCCGTTACTATAATTTTGTTTTCTAATTTCTACCTATACTTACATAAGTATCCTATTTATGTTGTAACATATACGATCATTTTCTTTTTATATATATAGCACTCTATCATCAGACTCTTTTGGGTGCCCATAACAAGATTGGGCAATCTGAAGCTTGGTATTCAGCGAACTCTCTATCCAAGCGCCCTAGATTTGAGAGTATGAGCCATTTGCCTGTTTATCCCCAGAGGCCTGGAGAGAAGGATTGTGCCTATTATATGCAAACAAGAACCTGTAAGTTTGGGGACAGCTGCATGTTTGACCATCCTATTTGGGTTCCAGAAGGGGGAATCCCTGATTGGAAAGAGGTGATTTTTTTGTTCTTCATAAGATGTTAATATTCCATTAGCTCAGTTACTTTATACCATATATACATGTATTATAGTAGTTTGTTTAAATATTAATAATTTGTTTTGTTTATATTGATAAAAATCTATTAATATTTAGTCATATGTCTTACACTAATACATCACTTGCTAAGATGCTCCTTTTGGAACTATATTGTCTTTGTACTTCTGTACATACTACTTTAATCTGATGAGCTACTGTATTTTTACCTATCTTTCATGCTGTTTTTATTTCACAAACCAATATTTCTGTAAGTATTTTCGGGACAATAAATATGTACCATGGGGATGGGTGAGACTGGAATATTTATCTTGTCAATCATGGAACCCATTTCACTTTGTGGATGATATTTCTTCTATCATCTCACTATTTTGAATTCAAGGTTATTATAATCTATATTGTTTGTGGTCTCTGTAGTGGTTTATTTTGACCAAAGTTAATTATGCAATACACATGATTGAATATGTAGTTATTATCTAATACTAGGAGCTATTTGCCGTTCCAGTGTGGCTTCAAGTGCATCCTTTATGGTTTTATAGTAATCCTATATTTGTGAGTGTATGTGCTCACGCGCGCACACACACACACATGTATTGTTTGAGTGTTTTATGGATCACGTGTATATTTCTCGACACTGTGGCATCCAGAATCAAATACCATCTCCTGGTGATGATTTTTCCATGAGGAAACATGAAATTTTGGGTTCCATTTGTACCTTCTTTATACCTTTCCTAATTTTCTAGGCTTTAATATGCTTGACTGAATGTCTTCTATAGTAAATCCGAAAGTCTAAGTTGAGTGGATCTTCAGTTTGAAAGTTCAACTATTCTCAATTTCTTGTATTATGTTAATTATTTTTAAGGTACATGGTTAATGGTGTTATTATTTTTAAGAAACTCCGAGAGTATTGTTGACCAATTTTCCAGGGTTCCAATCAGAGCACTCTCTTACTGTAGAATCCATAGTATATGGACATGCTTGTCCTTTTGAATCTAAACTCTGCTATAGGATTCATGTCTGACTTTATCTAAAAGAGATGGCAGAAACGTCAAGTTATTGATATGATAATGATATGTGAAGCAACACGAATGCTGCTATTAGGCAATAGGCAGCCAGTCTGTTAGGCAGGTTGATCTTTAATACTTAATGAACAAAAATACATACTTATACTATGACATGTCAGACTTTTGTTTAAGTTGTTTTTCAAAGTATGACATTTTTTACTTTTACTAGTAAAGCCATTCTGGAATGGTCGTTAGGTAATTTATGTCATTTTACCATATTTGTAGTTTACATGGATGTGAGGCCATTCCATATAGCTTGCATGCATTTTTCAAAAAGTTGTATCAATGAGTTGCATCAAACATATGACTACCTATGTTTTTGGAGTTTCTCAGTAGCACACACACACACACACACAAACACATAGACACAAACACACACACACACACACCTATATACATATATTAACTTCTCAGAATTTATGGGAAGAGAATAGTGTTTTATGCTTGATGACTAGGATCATGAAGTTTATAAATTCTTGATGGTTCACGATATATTATGACTATACATTTGGTTGATATGGGAGATAAATTTCTCTACCCATTGAATATAGGCTGTGTTATGTCTTCTCATTTGTAAGGCATTCAAATCACATTTTTAGGCTCGGCAACATTTTTATCCAATAGTTTCTGATGCTCTAATATCAGCTTCTTTGAGATTCATTTCTGCTACCCTACCGCTCAACCCAACTCATTCTCTGTTTGAATTTTAATGTATATTTGCTTTCTGGTTTATTGTGCTTGTTTCACTGTGGTTTTTTAATTGTAGAACAATCTATTTCGTCTTCTTGAAATCATGTAATTCATGGTTCAGGTCCTTCCTGTGCCAAGTGAAGCTCTTCCTGAGAGACCAGGGTTGCCCGATTGCCCTGTAAGCCAGATTTAAAGAATTTGATTTATAATCAAAAGCTCTTGATATTCTGACACGTAACCTCTGTTTTTATTACTGGAAATGTCCCAGTTCTTCCTCAAGACCCAAAGATGCAAGTTTGGTATTAAGTGCAAATTCAATCACCCTAAAGACAGAATTGCACCTCCAGTAAGTAATTTTGGCATAACTTACTATTTTGTTTAATGTGGCAATTTTGCTGTCAAAAACTTGAATTTTTATTTTGTTGACTCAATTTAGGGTGCAATGGAGGAGGGCGATGTGTCTGTCCTACCTGAGAGGCCATCAGAGCCTCCATGTACTGTAAGCTACTTCTCTCCCGAGTGTGTTGCTTGCTTCTGTACTAGCAATTTCGTAAATGATAACTCTTTTGTAATCCAAACAGTTCTATATGAAGACTGGAAAATGTAAATTTGGTTCGACCTGCAAATTTCACCATCCCAAAGGTGTGCAGATATCATCTGGAGAAGGAAATGAAGTTCAGAACAAAACTTTTGGAGATGTAAAGACATTGCAGCAGACGTTTGCACCTGCTTTGCTTCATAATACTAAAGGCCTTCCCATCAGACCAGTATGGTTACTTAAGATGTTAATACGTTATTATTTTACAATACCTGATGTTTGTAGATTGAATTATTGAGCATGTCTGTTTACAAGAATTTTCAAAAAAAATTCAACATTTTAACCCAACGACTTTTTTTTAACTCAACTTTAACTCAACCCCACTATCATCAATATTATCAATATAGTTAAATAATATCAATCAATCATTCATACACCATATCAACCTTAATTCACTATTCATCCACTCACATTACTTTAACTAACTATCACTTCAAATCATCCCTCTCCTATTTTTACATCAAATCAATTTTAATTATTTTATTTTAAATATTATTTTAATGTACCACTAACACCTAACAATTCCACCTTTTTCAAAATTAACCAAACCAAACCAAAAAATCCAAACAAAACCAAAAATTTCCATAAACAAACATGCTCTATGTTTTTGTTGTGATTTTTGAATTTGCAGTAAATTTTTCTCCCAGTCAATTACAAAATGGTTTCAAGTTGCTTCTGTTTCATGAATGTCTCTTGTAGGAAATGGTGATAAATTTCCAATTTTAAAGAGACTAGTAATTAGTTTGTTTCTTTCATCTGATTTGACCAACTAGTAATGGAATTGTGATCCAGTGACAAGCTTGCTGTCAGTCTCATGTCTGCATAACCATCCGTTCTTCTGTGTATGGCCTGCCCAAATTACCCTCCTCGTGTTCATACAAATTTCCTTTGTATTTAGCTTTAAAAACCTTGCCATGTTGCCTACGAAATGTTGAGTGGAAACTAAGAGATGAAGCAGGTTTAAGACATCCTTCTCCTGACATATTTGCTTCCCATTTTCAAACTGTCTGTCTTATTCTCTGGGGTTGTGTCGTTGCGTTTTTAGATATTATTTCTTCTCAATTTATTTTCATATTGGTATCCTAGTGGTTGTTTGGGGGTGGGGTGTTGGGGATGAGAAGGTGATGGGCGGTAACAACTTAGTGCTGTGGTTTTCCTTTAGTCAATCTCAGCAACTTTTGAAGCCTCGAGAAGATTGAAATATAACTATGCAAAATTTCCTCAACCCCTGAAGGGATTCAGAATATAAAATAATATTGATCGCATATACTTTCTGCTACACTGGTTCAATTGTCATGCTTTATTGCTATCACATCTATTTTCTTTCTGGAAACATGTCATCATCTACTGGCTTGCCATTCACAGGGTGAAGAAGATTGCCCATTCTATCTGAAAACTGGCAGGTGTGTTCTTCTTTCTAGTTAAACTTAGAAGCAGTTCCTTATTTCCAGCTCCAATATAACATTCATATACATACCAAGACACAAGTATAGTTCTAATATGTATTTTCTTCAATCAGCTGTAAATATGGGGCCACTTGCCGCTACAACCATCCAGACAGATATCGTATGTGATGACTTTACGCGAGTTCCCCTCCCCCCAATCCCCTATCTTCCAGGGTTATTCTTTTCCATCCTATAAACTTAATTAAATTATTGTGTAGCTATTGCTCCTTCTCTGCTGACGTCTCCGGCTACACATTACAACTTTGGTTTGGTTGCTCCGACTGCATCTCTCCTGCCAACCGTTGATTCAGGATTGACTCAGACAGCGGTAAACTTGAATCTTACTTTGTTCATTTCTGATTCCATAATTTCCATCGTGCCATTGTCGTAGAATATGCACAGAGATATTGAAAGAATTTGACGTCCCAACTTTTAATACCGTTCATTAATTACATTTTCCTTTGTCTCGTTTCAACTGTCTTTGCAAATTTGCTGACATATTTGTCTATTTATGAGTGTGTGAGTTTTTGGGCAAGTAAAAGGTTACAGAAACATAGTGCTCTCTAGCCCTGAAATTCCCATTATTTTGATATTAATCTAGCCTCAATATGACTTTCTTAGCAGTCTCATAGATATGAATTAACTCCTTGTTTGCAGCTTGGACTCGGACTCACTCCAACTATTTATCCTCAACGACCTGGGCAGATCGAGTGTGATGTATGTTTTGCTCATATTCTTTTCATGTTGTGCATGTTCAAAGTTTTGAGGGATTCTGTGATCCTATAATCATTATCTACTCTTTTGGCATAATAACTATATGGTTATGCTTGTTGCTGTGATTGGATACAGGATTTTTCAAAATATTTGTCTCATCTTGAAATATAAAGATGAAAAAGTAGTTTTGTGAAAAAAATGAGATAGATTTTAGATTGTGAATGGATATAAGATAAAAATGTAATGATTAAAGTTGATGTGTGATATAAAAATAATAAAGTATTCATTGATAAGATTGTTAGTTAGAAATATGTGAGTGGATTAATAGTATTTTTTGTTGGAAAATATATAATAATGATGAATTTTTAATTTTAATTGTGTTAGCGGGATTGTAGAGAAAACTGAGATGGATAGTATTTCTGTGATTTTATTTATTTATTTATTTTTTTTGTGCCTAATTTCCAGTTTCAGTGATATAAATCTTAACCTAATTGACAAAGAAAAAATTTTGTATCCAACTACCACCTTAGAACTTAGAAGTTATGTTCATCCAATATTGGTTAGTTACTGGGCTGTTATTGTGAATTAGTGTGGGTATGCACCCTCTCCCTTTGAGCTAGCTTGTGGGACGAGTTCTACACATGCCCGTTTATCACAAATCATCCATTAGGGGCTCATCCTGTGGAGTCAATAATGATTTGCAGCGCTACTTGTTCTACGTGTTAATTCATAACTATTGCTCCCCAGATGTGTAGTAAGAGTGCATGTATAATGTTTGTCTTGTTTCTTCTGTGCTTAGGGTTTGCCATGTGTCTTTTTGGGGCTGTGATATCATTATTCTAATATTATTTTATCGTAATTTTTGGTTCAAGTATTACATGAAAACTGGGGTCTGCAAGTTTGGTTATAGCTGCAAATTTAACCATCCTATTGATCGTACTAAACCCAAAGCACCAGCCCCTGAATCTCAGCAGGAAGATGTGAAGCTCACTCTTGCAGGCCTCCCTAGAAGAGAGGTATTTTGCACATCTGATGAGGCCTTAATAACCAACCTTTTTAATGCTTTGTACTACATCTTTCTTGAAAAAATGGGTTTTGTTCCTCTTCAATTTTGTATAGAAGTGACAGATAAGATGCAGCTCTGTATTAATATAATGTTTAATACCATTTGCATGCCCTTGATGTGCTTATTCATCTTGTTGAGTGAGGTTTATTCACTGACGTCTGAAGTTTTTATTTTAAGGTTGCGCGCTCATACTAAAAGATTTAATTGCCTGATTTCTTCTCTGGCATTAATATATATGGGTGTCTGTAGTGTGAGGATCATATGAGAATAATTTTCATCCATGGGACCTGAGAAATCAGTGCTTTGGATAATCTGATGATTTTCAACTGTCGGGTTTTGATGTGAATTCTTCATTTTCTTTGCTTGTATTATCCGTGTTTGGTAGCACTGTTGTGCATGCTTTAAACGATACTAACTTTTACATGTTCATCAATGATGTTATTGAGCATTTTAACACGACAACATCATGCATTTCAATCTTTTTTCACCTTAACCCTATATATATACACACACATTCATTTTCTTAGGTTATTTTTTTGGCAAAAGTGGTAATAACTACAGTAATCATGCTTGTAGGGTGCCATACACTGCCCTTATTACATGAAGACTGGGACGTGCAAATTTGGAGCCACATGCAAGTTTGACCACCCACCCCCTGGTGAGGTGTTGACTGGTGCCACATCTCAGGGGGCAGCATCGTCTGCTATGGATGATGGGAAAGAGGATGGCACTAGTTAAAAATGTTTAGTGGCATGACACTGTTTGTTTAAAGGAACTCCAATTAGTCTCAAACTACTTTCTGTAGAATGCTGTTTCATGAATCTGGTTCGATACAAGCTGTGTTGATATAATATATTCGCTCTTCCTTTCTTTATTTTTTGGACTTTCACTTCGTTTTATTTAAATTTGTTGGTTTGAATGTGTTAAATTTACCGGTTGCTGGAAGTGTTTCCCGTTGATGAATTCTTATTTTTCTCAACGTTTTTGCTGCGTATCATAATCAGGGCAGCAGGTGATCAGTCTGCTGTCATCAACATATCGTAACACTCTTTAATGAAGAGAAAAATGGAGGAAAGAAAAAAGATATATAGATATTAAATTTGAATCGGGCTCTTGACAGCATTTTTTTCCCCTCTGTGATTTTAGTTAATCATCCATGGAGAATACTAATGTTTTGCACCATGGATATGGACACATGCGATCGCCATATTAAACCATTTTCCTTCTCTCGTTGAGTCCAATCTTTGATGAGTCCATCATCTATCATTGAGGTACGAAAACTATGGATGTGCATATAATTACCAGAAATAGAAATATATTATTTATACAACTACCATTCTCTCGGTGGTATTGGCTTCTACCTAGTGTAGGAGTTGAACTGTATTTGACCATATGGTTAAAAATTTGTACCATCTGTTGAGTTTTAGGAAGTTGTGTTTATCGTTTGGAAAAAAAAAAAAAGAAAACTCTCCTCACAAGATCTGTCAATATGGCCTAGAACGCTATAATAGCAGGCATAGTCTCACCAGCTTTTCATATTTGAAGCAAAACACGGGTTTCTCATGGAAAAATGCTACCCCACATCCAAACTTGAGTTGTCTTCTACACCTAAATCAAAATTATTAAAAAGTATGTGTAAGAAATGGGGAGAAAATGAGTGAAAATCCAGATGGAACACAAATAGGTTCCATCTAAAAACCATAAACAGTAAAAGCAAGTCGAGTTTTATCCCAAAGCCAATTGGTTGAAGGAGGAGTAACACGTTAAACTTATAGATTAGACACCTATATAAATGATGCAGGACAATAGTTTTTCCAAAAAAATGAAAAAAAAAGGAAAACAATACCTGCCCGGGCCCCATCCATTAATTTTCTTTCCCAACCTTTTAATTATCCCCACTTATTTCTAGCCCACCATTCCCACTCTATCACATGAATCACATCTCGCCATAGCTTAGTTGCCTTTACCAAATTATATTGATAATCCTCTTCACAAATATCCCTATTTCCCCAACCGAATGGGCTCCAACAGCGAGAAAACCAGTAACCCTGCGGCCCGATCCCTTCCAAATGACAATGATGAAGAAGCTGGCGTGTTTGCAATGCAGCTGGCTACGGGATCTGTCCTTCCCATGGTCCTGCGAGCCGCGGTCGAGCTCGACCTCCTTGAGCTGATCAAGCAAGCCGAGCCGGCCGCTTCGGCCTCCGAGCTGGCCGCGCGCCTCCCGACGAAAAACCCTGATGCGGCGGCTATGGTGGACAGGATCCTGCGGTTCCTGGTGGCGCACGGCGTTCTGACCTGCACTACGGAGGGCGGCTAGCGGGGGTACGGGCTGGAGGCGGCGGTGCGGCGGTATTTGACTCGAAACGAGGACGGGGTCTCGCTGGCGGCCTGCTATTCGCTGATGATACAGGACAGAGTTTTCATGGAGACCTGGTGAATTGAATGCCATTTGCCTTTTTTGTATTGCTGTTTTTCTTATTAAATAAATGACTGCTTTTCTTTAGTTGCCCAAAGGACAAGGTGCGTCCCTGCCAAGGTTTTCAATATCGAGATTCTGAGTAGAATCCTTTTGGGTGCAGAATCAGAATCGTAGAATCGGAATCGTTAATCGTAAGACTCTACTCAAAACGTCTAAAATTAATTATTTTAACAAGTTTTATTATAATCATCAAGAATATGTATCAAAATGCTAAAAAAAAACCATCACTTGTTTTTCAAAATATAAATGTTCAAATTTTAACACTCTGCGCGTTCAAACTTCAAAGGTAACACTTACAAATACATAGACACGGCCATTCAAACGTCACATATAGTCCAAACTCCAAAGTCAGAAGTCAACCAAAAATTCGATCTTCCTAATTCCTAAAACTGTGATTCTGTGAACTTCTCCTGTTCCCAACAACGATCAAAAAAATTGCAGGGAGATAAGTAAGGATAAATGGTTACCTCTAAACGAGAGAACAACAAAGCGATGAAGCTTAATTGCTGAGAAGTCTGCTCCGACGAAGAAGACGCAGGCGTCGAGGCCGAGCCATTTTAACGTCGGAGTTCGGACTGTCGGAGGCTACAGCCGTGTGAACTGTGGACTGTGGAGGATTGGAGGCCGAAGAAAAAGTGAGAGAGAGATGGATTTGAGTTTAACGTCGGAGTACGACGGTCGGTCGACGAGGGATGGAGGTGAAGAAGTCGCGATTCGCGACGGAAGAGCAGAGGAAATTAGGAGAAAATGAATTCAAATTAGGGATTTCAGGATTTTTGGGTATTTTTTAATTTTTTTTAATTAATTTGTTTTGGATTGGGCCAAGGGAAAGGAATATTTATGCTTCTTTGGGCCAATTTGTGTAAAAAAAAAAATTAAAAGAAATAACTCAAGTGTCCAATCGCAGCCCAATTTTAAAATCTGGTTCATTTTTTGAGTTTTGAACAGAATTGGTCAAAGTCGTAGAATCGGTCCGATTCTACGATTCTGAACAATTCTACTGATTCTGCAGCGACTCTACATTCCTTTGCGATTTTGAGCGACTTATAATCGAGTTTGTGACTTTACCGATTCTACGACTCAAAGTCGCGATTTTTATAACCTTGGTCCCTGCCTCTCTCTCCACTTACCTACTTCATCAATTGCCATTTGTCTCTCATTGTTTCATTAATTCGTTTGCATGATTTATTATTATTTAATATTAAGAATAAAATTAGTTTCACATTTATTTATCAATAATTGAAAATTTAAATTAAACAAAACAAAACGTACAATGAGACATTTAACAATTAATGACATGTTGATTTATAATGAGATTTTTTTTTTTTATAAAATTAATAATTAGTGTAAGCTAAAAGTATAATTATATAGTGATAAAAAAATAGAAAAAACACTAAAACAAACGTGGGAAGAAAGTGTAATAAAAAAACTAATAACTCTCTATGCCCACTTTAATTTCTTAATCTATATATATATATAATTACTAGCTCAAAACATTTAATAAAACCTATTTAATTTTACCTATGTGGCAATTTAACAATTTTCCCTCCAAAAACCGTTACATTTTGATGTATTTAATCTTTCATTCAATCATTAAATAATTAATACTCATCACTTCAAAATTAGAAAAATTATTTTAAACTTTTGATTAATGATAGTTGACCATATAATGTGTTGACCGTATAATGTGATTAGATGTTATTATTGTTGTTACATTTAATTTTTTTTTTTGAAAATAAAAAATATATTTGAAATTCTTAAATAAATAATAAATAATTCACAAATAAAAGACGTACCAAAATATACATTACATCCAATCAGATAAACGCAATTTAAAAAAAAATATTCCAACTCTTTTAATTGTAAATTTGGTCTGCAAAAAAGTGAAAGAAAAATAATTAATTATTATATACATACAGACTCACAATAATTTATTTATATCTGTGCAAATGCACAGGTCGAATACTAGTCCAACTAGTTTTCAGAGATGACCCCAATTACGCCGACCAGTCAGTATTTTTTTAATAGTTTTGTTATGAAGACCAATCAGTATTTTTTTAATAGTTTTGTTATGAAGCCAACAGTTGGATCCAATAGTGGGGTCAACCTTCTATATACAACAAGTAAACCATATCATATTATCTGATTATTTAATAATTTTATTAATATGATATGGTTTACTTGTTGTAGTATATAGAAGGTTGACTCTACTATGAAGCCGTTTGTTGGCTTCATAGCAAAACTGATTTTTTTTTAAATGTCCACTATGTTTGAACAATCCACCATTTTCATGAAGAAAATCCTAGAAAAATACAAAGGTTTCGAGGGCCTAAATACCTTAGTCGATGTTGGTGGAGGAATTGGCGCTTCACTTAAGATGATCGTATCTAAATATCCATCAATGAGTGGCATCAATTTCGATCTGCCCCATGTAATCAAAGATGCCCCTTCTTAACCAGGTATTTAAATATCCATGCTCCTAACTATGCTCCTAACTATTTTCATAATTTGTTCTCTCTACTTGTAATTACTGCATTTACATGAATTGAATAATACGTATACATTATTATATATGGGTATATATTTTTGGTGTCAAATTAATTATTGTACATGTTCATAATTAACCAAGTAGGTAGAGCATATTAGATTTGTCCAAAATTGGAAGGTTCAATGATAGTGAAACTTGTGCAGGTGTGGAGCATATCGGATGTGGTTCAAATGAGAACTAAGTCTCAGTGTGAGAACCGTGAGAATCGCTATTTTTAATTATGCGTAGTTGTGTTTGGTGCTATTTTTAACTAGGATGAATTTTATTAAAAATAACAACACAATTTCTGTTAGCATTTGTAAAACTGATAGCACCATCTAATATGAAAAATAACATCATACAGAATTAAAAATAACTTCTCACAGTTCACACCAGAACTAGTTTTTATTTGAACCACCCCTGTATAGGATGTGTGTGTGTATATATATATATATATCTATATATATATAATTGCTGGCTAATAGCATTTAATAAAACATTTAATAAAAATCATTTCGTTTTCCCTCCAAAAACCGTTACAAACTTTATCATTTATATCTCTCTCTATATTTAATTGCCAACAATAAATTTAACAATATTAATTATTGTTTACCATCTTTTTATGTTACAATCTTCTATTATTATTAATCCATCATATCTAATTAATGCTAAAATATTTCATTGCACTTTTTATGGTTAATTAAAATAAAACCGTTATATTTTATATTAATGGAGTAATAATTATATTATTTCATTATATCATATAATAGTTGTTATTAAAACTAATAATTATAGTTTACACTAAATGATAAATGAAAATTACATAAACATAAAAAAATATATTGTAAACTTTTTGCTAAAGTTGTTTATTCTAAAATTAATATTATATTTTTTTTTATCTTATTTAGCGATTGTATTTTTAAATAAGTTAATTTATTTTAATGTTATATTAAAATTTCTTAAAATCGCATAATCAAATGTTATAATAAATTTAATTTTTTTAAGCTAATAAATTGGCGATCTCTCAAAATTACATTATTTATTATATTTTATGTAATTAATATAGTGGTTCATATGCAATCAAATAGTTATGTACTATTTATTTTATTTTAACCAATGATCAAATTTTAAAACATAATATCATTATCTTATTTATATTTTTATTATTATATGCATAAATATAACTTATAATACTCTGTGTTTAAAATATAATATCATTGTGTAACTTATAATTTTAGTACTAGCATAAATATAACTTATAATATTCTATTTACACTGTGCAAATGCACAGGTCGAATACTAGTATATATAAAGGATCACGCTCACATGAGAATAGTTCACAATGAAAGAAAAAAGAATAAATCGTAGCCATTATATCGGATGATCTAATGGCTATAAAAAGTCAAAATTATACATTCATTAAAGATATTGTGTTGATTTTTCACACACAAACCAAAAAGGTGGACCCCACTCCCATTAATATAACTGCCACCAACCACCACCAATTAATCAAAATACCCCACCCC